TGTATTAGTCATATATATATATATATATATATATATGACTAATACAGATACCACACCACAGTATATTACGATGTAGTACAGTGTATGATGATACAATGAAACATAATCTAACGTAGTACAGCAGTATATCATAGAATATACAGTAGTATATGGTACAGTTGCATATTAATAGCAATAATATTAACAGTGGTCTTCCTCTGGGGAGCATGAATATAAACATCAGCTGATATTTATTATAACTTTATTATCTTCAGAGCAACATCTACCGGAATGTTTTTAGTTATTTTATTTTGAAAATCTAAATGTGAAGTAACAGTTTTAGTTCTATAGTGTGATGAAGATGATGATGAAGAGGAGGAGATGAGTTTTATTTTCATAAAACAAGTGAAGAAGAGAGCAGTGTGATTAACAGAAGAAGAAGACGATGATCTCTGGCTCCTCCTTCTGGTCGATGACTGAACTTCTTTTAACACAAAACGCTGAATCAGCTGCTTTTTTCTGCTGATGCTCTAAAACCTAAATAGTGTATTTAGCTTAAACATTGAGTTTCTGTCAGCAGCAAATAACTGAACATTTATTATTCATAAATACATTTAAAGTCCTCAACTCTGTGATATGAACGGTTTCCTTCAGTTTGAAATACGAACAAATAACAACAATGAACTGGTATGTTTTTATCATTAAATCATTTACAAGAAGATCAAATGTGCTTCAAGGGAAAGTTAAGTTATTTGTTTAAAAATGAACTCAAAAGAATAAAAGAGATAAAATGAGACTTTATCTGTCTAGTTAAGTTAAATTAAATTAAATTATTATTATTATTACACTACAATTTTATTTGAAACATACATGAACATAAAGTGAAACTATGCCGTGCAAAAAGAAAAGAAATGGACCAGTTCTTCAACTTTAAAACATAAAGTACAGGTATAAATACAATGAATTAATTATAATAATAATAATAATAATAACGGTTATTTTTTCTGATTAATAATTCTGTTTATTAGAGAGTTGAATGTTTCCTAATGTCAACAGTCTACAACTCAGAGATGGTTCAGTTTTAAGTTAAAATCAAACTTTTAATCACTTCAATAATTTATCAACTCTAATTTTCGTTGACCGATTTAAAGTCAAACAGAACATTAAGCAGGGTATGCTTTAGGGGCGGGGCTACACAGTGATTGACAGGTCTCTAATAGACCATAAAGCAGGGTATGCTTTAGGGGCGGGGCTACACGGTGATTGACAGGTCTCTAATAGACCATAAAGCAGGGTATGCTTTAGGGGCGGGGCTACACGGTGATTGACAGGTCTCGAATAGACCATTAAGCAGGGTATGCTTTAGGGCGGGGCTACACGGTGATTGACAGGTCTCTAATAGACCATAAAGCAGGGCATGCTTTAGGGCGGGGCTACACGGTGATTGACAGGTCTCTAATAGACCATAAAGCAGGGGATGCTTTAGGGCAGGGCTACACGGTGATTGACAGGTCTCTAATAGACCATAAAGCAGGGGATGCTTTAGGGCGGGGCTACACGGTGATTGACAGGTATCTAATAGACCATTAAGCAGGGTATGCTTTAGGGCGGGGCTACACGGTGATTGAAAGGTATCTAATAGACCATAAAACACCAGAGGCGTTGTCCTTTAACTCTTTCGTGTGTTTTCACTCCATGAAGGTTCTTATAACATTTTGGTCGCCTTCTGGTCATCTCTCTCTCTCTCAGATATGGCGACATGGTACCAAAGACCATCATGGGGAAGATCGTGGGCTCCGTCTGCTCTCTGAGCGGCGTGTTGGTCATCGCTCTGCCGGTTCCCGTCATTGTCTCCAACTTCAGCCGGATCTACCACCAGAGCCAGAGAGCCGATAAGAGACGAGCTCAGAAGGTGAAGACCACAAACCGAATTCTTTAAAGTTTAGTTTGAAACATCAGAAGGAAGAAAGACAACAAACTCAGGCAGTCTCTCTTGTAAATGTCCCCAGAAGTAAGATACAGAACTTCTTTTAGCTCCTCATGAGTCCTGATCATGACTTCATTTGGAGTCCACAGAAGTTAAGACACAAGACTTCTTTTAGGGTCCTCTGGAGTGTGGTTTATGACCTTCTTGGCCCCCCGGTGGGACCTACAGGTAGTCAGTCTAGGGCCGGTTTTCCGATTCTAGGTAACCAGCCTACTTCCTAGAATGTCTCACTGTTCCTTTAGAACCACCTGAGCTCCTGACTCCACGATCACAGAGTCTTCAGTCCTTCAGTCCGTCCGCCTGCGTCACATTCAGTCTGAACCCCTGAGCAACATGAGTATGGTGGTGCTCTTGGGTCAAATAAGGCTTGAGTCAAAACAAGCAGAAACACCGGCACATTTAGGGAAGCAGCGATTAAGCTGCTGAACAGCGGCCGTCACTTTCTTACTAACGGTGAACCAGGACAGGATGAACCTGGACGGTTCTGTCTGAAGAAGGTGGTGAGAACGTTAGCTCCTATCCGTGTGTGTGTGTGCTCACAGTGTGGTCATGTGATTTGTTGTTTGTGTCCTGAAGGCGTCCAAGGAAGCAGGACAGGCGCTGGTCTGTAAGGCCAACCCCAACTTTGACATTCATCACAACCACCTTCTGCACTGTCTGGAGAAAACCACGGTGAGAACGGAACATTATACACAGAGACACACACACACACTTTAACTTCAAAAAACCTCCACAAAGAAACTTCTCGTTTAATAAGTAGCAGCCACAGTTTTCAGTCATCCATCTTAAATGTAATAAGTACAGTCGTCTGCATATTAAAGACTTCATACGGACACATTTGAGGCGCTGTTTTTAAGTCGCCAAAGTCGTAAAGCCTCACGTTCTACAGAGTGCCTTTAGTACTTTCAGCTGTTAAATCAGAACCAGAATCAACTTTATTGGACATGTATGAGTACGCAAAGAAGGACTTTGCCTCTGGTTTTTAAGTTGCTCTCAATGTACAGAATATACAAATAAACAAAGAAAATAAGGACAACAAAGTAGAACATAGGTAAGCGTAAACATTTAACGACTATGGACAATATAAATATATATCCAAAAGTATATATATGAACATAAAGAACAACAACAATGACATGAATGGAGGTAATAGTGCAGAATGACGTTTAACCCCCTGACAACCTCTAACATCCGGACCCTCGTTTCTACCTCAGAACCACGAGTTCGTGGACGAGAAGATGTACGAGACGGGCTGCAGGGAGGTAACTCTGGTGAAGCGGCCGTCTCGCTCCTCTTCCTCCTCCTCCGTCTCCACCTCCTCGCCTCACGGCTTCACCTCCTGTTGCGCCCGCCGGAAGAGGAAGACCTTCCACGTGCCCAACTCCAACATGTCTGTGGGTCTGCACGGCGGCGTCCAGGAGCTGAGCACCATCCAGATTAAGGAGAGGCCGCTCACCAACAGGTAGGAAAGAGGTGTATTCATCCCGAGGAAGAGGACCTGAGGACTTGGGTCATTGAAGAGTTCGCGAAAGTAATTTTGGATGTTTTAGTGGACAATGATGATGTTGCAGAGGTCCTTAAAGAGGGGTTCTAGAGGTTCTAATGATCTTAAGGTAGTTCCCTTTGGTGCTTCAAGGGGTTCCAGGGGTCCTTAAAAAGGTACCTGATGTCCTTGAAGAGGTTTTAGAGAACGATTATGGAGTACTTATATATTACTACGACTTATTGAAAAGGTGATCGAAAAGGTGTCATTGAGGGGACGGCAGAGGTCCTTAACAAGTTATTAGAAGAGGTTGATGACCCATAAAGAAGTACCTGGGATCCACAACGAGGTTCTCGGGACACGTGATGATGTTTAGAGCTCCCTGTGAAGGTTGTAGAAGTTCTTAGGGTGCTTTCACAAGTCCTAAATGAGATTTCAAAGGTTCTTGAGAAAGTTTCAAAGATGTTTAAGGAGGTTTTTAGAGCTCATTGTGAAGGTTGTAAAGATCATGAAGATGTTTCAAAGGTCTTTGAGCATGACTTAGAGGTTCCTTCAATGGATCAGTTAGGAGGTTTTGGAGGTTCTTGAGAATATGTCATAGGTACTTAAGGGGGTAGTGGAGAAAGTTATTTAAATCATGGCTTCGCTCCAAATAACCAATCAGAGAGCAGGGAATTTCCATTCTAGGGTATAAATAAAAATATATATTCATATTTGTTGTGATTTGTTGTTGATGCTCAGTCCCTCCTGAATCCGTTAGATGAAGTTTTAGAGAAGAACTGAGAAGACATTCCTGTTTTAAACCTCAAGATAAATGAAATGAAGTTATAAACAGCGACAGTTGGAGCCACACACACTCTCAGACACACACTGTGTATATAAACACGTGGCTCCAGAGATCATGTGACACAGCGTTCCCATGGAGAGTCAGGGAGCAGGAATCCAGACTATGTCCGGCTGTGGGAGGTCTGGGAACTTTCTCCTAAACATGGACAGCTGGGACAGCAGCTCGTCTCTATAACGGCCTCCAACTGTTTCAGCCTCACCGTGTCCTCTTCGTCTCTTCATAACTTCATCACAGTCTTGCAGTTAAATGGTCTGAACGTCCTGAGTCTTTATCTTCATGAATACGGCCTCTTGTTTTGTGTTCAAATTCATGAATTATGAATGAAGCTGGATTCACATGTTGTAAAGAGGTCACGGTGTGGACGACCCGCTCCTCCTCACAGACGTCAGCACGATATTCATCAGTTCTTCTATATATATTACACTATCGTTATGAATATGACGATACAAATGTGATGTGTTTCATGTAAACATCATATTCTGTTTTGTATATTCTGAATTATGGATGAATGGTGTGATATGTTGATATTGTTCAGGTTCTAGGATCATTCTTTGGACTTGTATACAGCTCATTCACTATATATATGTGTATAACTAAACCCTTAAAAATGTGACCATTTCTTACTTCAAAATATGATGGCAACAAAGTGACACGTTATATAATTGAATACATTTTAAGTTCTACAAATTTGATTAAAAAATAAGTCATTTAGATTTACTAAATATCTGGATGAACATGATTTGGATTCACTTAAAAAAATAAATTATATCAATTCATTTAATTCAACACATTTAAATTGCTATTCTTATTTATATGTACCTAACTTAATTCTTTTAAGTTTAAATCATTTCACAAGACTCTAAAAATCTATTCAATGAAATGAATTGTCACTTTGTTGCAATCATTTTTCTAAATCGAATCAACCAAATATCATGACTTTTTGGTGCCACCGTTTAATTAATTTGATCACCACAGCCATCAGTTTGTAGAGATGCATGTCCAGAAGAACAGAAGGACAAACATCATGAAGTACTTGGATATTAACAGGTTTCTGGATATGAACAAATGTCTTTTAGAGAAGCTGTTTGAAGCAATGAAAGAATTCAGACCTTGACTTCACACCTCTGAGCTTTTAACTTCCTTCATTTAGTAAATGTAATCGTCTGAAATCTGTTTCCTTGCTCTCTCTGTAGTCGTTCCAGTCGATCCAGTCTGAACGCTAAGTTTGAGGAGAGGGTTCCTCTGAACTGTGACCAGTCGTACATCACCGCCGCCGTCATCAGCATGCCGACGCCGCCGCCGCCGTCCGGCACCCGACCCAGACGCACCTCGTCATCCGGCCCCATCGACTACTCCCAGGCTAACATCGTCAGGGTGTCCGCACTATAGATTATAACGTCTTCCCCCTCCAACACGGAAACACAACCCACCCAGCGGTCAGGCATCGGGGGGGTCGGCATCCCCGCTCCACCACAGACTCAGAGGGCCGGGGTTTGGATCACGTGTCCATGACAGAGGTGACGGGTTAGCTACCCTAAAACTCAGATAACACCTCTTTGGATTGCTCTTGTTTTCTCTTCTGTCTTCTAGGAAGGATTTCTATTCGGGCAGTCGAACATCTGAGGAGAGAAAATGGCCGACTGGCTGACGACTGATCGCTTTATCCCAGAGAAATCTAAATCATCACCACGGCTGTTTTTACAATCCTGTATGTCTTTAAATTGAATGTCCTTAAACACAAAGAAAGCTGATGCTAACATAGATTTTTAGAATGCAGTGTAAAGGAAATGTCACATATTTTGGGAAGTACACTGTTAACCATCCAATAGCTAGTTTCAGTTTGCCAATAGCATAGCTTAGCACAAACACTGGAAGCAGGTTAAACTGCTAGCCTAGCTCCATCAAAAGAAAATAAACCACCTTTCAACAGCTGATTTACAAGTTTTATCTTGTTAGCGAACATGCTAGTCACCAATCAATCCAAGACTCAGCTGGGTTTAGTTGACTGGAGCTAACGGTGAGGCCTTGAAGCTAACTCTGAACTAGCTGGACTGTAAAGCTAACTCTGAACTAGCTGGACTTTAAAGCTAACTCTGAACTAGCTGGACTGTAAAGCTAACTCTGAACTAGCTGGACTGTAAAGCTAACTCTGAACTAGCTGGACCGTAAAGCTAACTCTGAACTAGCTGGACTGTAAAGCTAACTCTGAACTAGCTGGACCGTAAAGCTAACTTCATTCGTGGCTTTGTCTCCACGTTATAAATGTCTAGCATTAAAGAAAAAGATCTGATATTACTGTCATGATGTCTGCTAAGCCAAAAGAGAAAAGTAGAGTCATGACGTAAAGATAAAGTCCTCTGACTGTGAGCTAAGCTAACTGTCTTCCAGAACTAACGGCTCCTAAAAACTAAAAATATCTAATTTTCTATTTCTACTCTAATAAACAAGTTAAAACATAAGAAGATAGTTTGGAAGTTGTTGGAAGGCTTTTTTTTACAGTTAGCTTTCACTTAGCTAGGCTAGCAGTTAGCCCGTCTGTCTCCGATATATTAGTCGTGATTCAGAATTATCATACTTTGTATTTTTGTGTCCTGGACAACTTCATTGTGTTTCTCATTTAAATCAATCAATACATTATGGCAGTGATTCTCAACTGGTGGGTCGCGGACCCGTTTTCAGTGGGTCGAGGGCCTTTGCCTGACAAAAAAAAAAAAAAATGTTGTGATTTTATTTTGAAGGGCATTTTTTATGCAGCGGAATTATTCCAGCATTTACGGCACGTAAAGGGTACATCCCAAGTCTCTTAATTCTCATTTCCTCGCTCCTCGATCCTCGCTTGAACCGGAAGTTGTTCTGCGCCGCCATATTGACGGCCGTCCCAAAGCTCTAATGTAGCTCAGAGGAGCGAGGATCGAGGAGAGAGGAGAGAGGAGGGATCTCTGAGGAGCCATGAGGAGGACCCACGAGAACAGACTTCCAGGAAGTGTTTTAACGGCCGACACGCCCCCTCATTGTTCATCAGTCATGTGATTGGACGCTGCAGCCGATCGGACTGATGAGATTTTGTTCAACATGTAAACAGTGAAGACGGATCACAGAATAAACTCTAGTTTATATTTGATTCGTTTATGAACATCTGGTTTAAATAAATGTTCATTGTAGTCTGAACAACAAAAGGACCTCAAACAACTTTCTTCATTTATTAGAAAGATTTGTGTTTTCATGATCTAAACTTTTATTATGGAAACAATTAAAGTCAGAGGGAAATGGAGAGGCGAAACACTTATTTATTTATATATATATATATATATATATATATA